GTTTATCACCAGATCCGCATGGCCCCGGGCGACGTGGCTAAGATCGCATTTTGCACGCACGAGGGACATTATGAGTTTCTTGTCATGCCCTTCGGGCTAACCAACGCCCCAGCCACGTTCCAGTCACTGATGAATCATATTTTCCGACCGTTCCTATGTAAGTTTGTCCTTGTTTTCTTTGATGATATTCTGGTTTACAGCCCTGATTTGGATTCCCATGTAAACCATCTTATYGTGGTCTTTAACATGTTGCGAGATCACTCTCTTTGTGCAAACTTTAAGAAATGCCACTTCAGTCAGACCCGGATTGAATACTTGGGGCACTGGATTTCAGCTAACGGAGTGGAAGCAGACCAAGCAAAAATCCAAGCTATGTTGCAATGGCCTATGCTTACCACAATAAGGGAATTGAGGGGATTCCTAGGCTTGACAGGGTACTATCGCAAATTCGTGAGGAACTATGGAGTAATAGCAGCCCCGCTTACTCAACTTTTAAAGAAAGACTCTTTTGAGTGGAATGAGACGGCGACTGGAGCTTTTGAAAAGCTCAAAAAGGCGATGTGCTCTCTCCCAGTATTGGCGCTACCAGACTTCAATCGTCCGTTCATAATCGAGACAGACACTTTCGGAACGGGACTTGGAGCAGTTTTAATGCAAGACCACCGTCCCATAGCTTACTTTAGCCATACTTTATCACGTCAAAGTCAAGCAAAATCGGTTTATGAAAGGGAGCTCATGGTCGTAGTGTTGGGCATTCAAAGATGGCGGCCATATCTGCTGGGGCAGCGCTTTATTGTGCGAACAGACCAACAAGCATTGAAGTTTCTGTTGGAGCAACGGATAATACAGCCCGAATATCAGCGTTGGGTATCAAAATTGCTGGGGTACGACTTTGAGATACACTATAAGCCTGGCCTTGAAAACAAAGCATGGCCTTGAAAACAAAGCAGCAGACGCGCTTTCTAGAATGCCTGCAGGCCCCTACTTGGCTGTGATGTCTGCTCCTACGTTGTTGGATGTGTCTCTGATCAAGACAGAAGTACARAGTGATCCCCAGCTGACCAAAATCATAGCAGAACTCAATCAAGATCCGGACAGCAACCCAAAGTACTCACTTTGGCAAGGTAGCTTGAGGTATAAGGGACGAATGGTACTATCTAAGACATCTACTCTTATACCAGCCATTTTGCATCTGTTTCATAATTCTGTTCTGGGGGGACACTCAAGGTTCTTACGCACTTATAAACGTCTATGCAGGGAACTTTACTGGCAAGGGATGAAGGCAGATACCAAGAAGTTTGTGGAGGAGTGCTGTGTATGCCAGAGGAACAAGACAATGGCTACTGCCCCAGCAGGATTACTACAGCCGTTGCCTATTCCAGATCGGATATGGGATGATATAACCATGGATTTCATTGAAGGGCTACCTAAATCCCAAGGGCAGGACTCCATCTTTGTAGTTGTGGATCGCCTGAGCAAATATGCCCATTTTATTCCCCTGAGTCATCCCTTCACTGCGAAGACTGTAGCAGCGGCCTTTGTTAAAGATGTGGCACGGCTCCATGGATTCCCTCAATCTATTATTTCGGATAGGGATAAGATATTTCTCAGCCACTTTTGGACCGAGTTGTTCAAAATCCAGGGGACTAAGTTGAAACGCAGCACCGCTTATCATCTTCAAACGGATGGTCAAACGGAGATCGTCAATAGGTGTCTGGAGACTTACCTAAGGTACTTTTGCAGTGAGTCACCAAAAACATGGGGGCAATGGTTATCTTGGGCGGAGTATTGGTACAATACTACCTTCCACACCTCTTTGGGAACCACCCCCTTCCAAGTGGTGTATGGACGAACTCCACCACCTCTCCTAAGCTATGGTTCTTACAGAACAGCCAATGATACCCTTGATGAGCAACTGCAAAATAGGGATCAAGCCTTGAGTTTGCTTAAGGAGAATCTAGCTACGGCACAAGGAAGGATGAAGAAATACGCCGACCTCAAACGCACTGAATGGGAGTTTTCAGTAGGCGAGTTTGTCTTTTTGAAAATTCGACCWTACCGATAGAAGACATTGGCGAAAAGGAGAAATGAGAAGCTGTCCGCCAAGTTTTTTGGCCCATTCGAAATCCTACAACGGGTTGGAAAGGTGGCCTATCGACTCAAGCTACCCGAAGCTACCACCATTCACCCAGTATTCCATGTATCCCAGTTGAAACCAGTGGAAGGGACCAATTTTAAGGAGCAGCCTATTCCCCCTTATGTGACTGACGAATTAGAATGGCTAGCAGTACCTGAGGAGGTTTATGCTACAGGCGTGAATGAGGTAACCGGAGCCAAGGAAGCGCTCATCAGCTGGAAAGGCCTTCCACCGGAAGAAGCGACCTGGGAGACCTACGCGGACATGGGGCAGCAGTTTCCCGAATTTCACCTTGAGGACAAGGTGGATCTGATTGGGGGGATGTTGTTAGGCCACCGGTAACTAAAACTTATTCTAGGAGGGGTAGAATGGAAATTGTGCTGGGTAGTGAGGAATAATTATCATAGTGCGTGTAACGGCTTAGAGAGAGAAAATGTGGGCCCAGGGAAACGGTTTTGGGAGATCGTTTGGGGATAGAAATAGTTGGAGAAAGGGGGAGGAAGGGAAGAAAGATTTTGGCTGTGCTTAGCGAGGCTAGGAGAGATACCCACCCTCTCGAATTGGTGGGGTGTTGTTTGTAATCGCCTTCGGGCTTGTTTCCTTGAATTCCAAAAGTTATTGTGAGGAAGATACCTCACACAGACATTTCAAATACCCTTGTATCGTAGAATTTGAAGGATACACACTTGGCCGAATGCTTTTAGTTTTCATCTGTGTGTAAAATTCATGTGCCTTCTCCATATTCCCATTCTTACAGCAACCATCAATCATAACGGCGTACGTAACTTTGTTGGGCACCAGACCATTTTTTATAATCTCATTCACAAGATCTAAAGCACTGCTCATGTCTCCTTGCATGCAGTAACCGTTAAACTTGTTGCAACAGCCAAATTCATAGACTTCCCACAATTAACCATCTCATCTTTCAGCCATAGAGCCTCTCATATTCCCTTCCTTCACACAAGCAGTAATAACACTTGTAATTTGTAAATGAAGGAACCCAACCTGTTGCTCTCATCTCTCTCAACAAAGACGAAGCATATCCAGAATGCGGTTTCATACAAATTACATGGGTAAAAGTATTATATGCTTCTGCATCAAGTTTAACACCTCTTGCTTTCTCTTCTACAAAATATTGCTCTGCCTCAAAAATATTCATTTCCTTCAAACAAGCACGCATCATGCAATKTAAAACAATCACGAACTCCTTTCATCAACATTTTGTTACGTAACTCCCRTGCTGCACAGATCATGCTTTTTCTAACCATAGCAGTCAAAAGAATATTCATATACTGAACTGATGGCGTTATATCAAATTCTACCATTTTATTAAGATTGTGAATAGCTTCTTCAATTTTGTTAGCTCTAACGTAACTATTCAACAAATAATTAGAAACCTGAACATGCTGGATGCCAGGTTGCTAGCTGGAGGCCGCTGTAATCAAAGCTGCAAAAGTGAACTCGTTTGGCCTTTCTCTAGAAAATTGTAAATCTGAGAATAGTTTATGGCCCAGCAGTAAGTTCTACAGAGAATTAAAGCGACATCTATGACACATTGTACTTAGAAGGGTGGAGTTAGAGGGGAAGGACAAGGTGGGATCCATGGCAATGGGAGACCTGTTAGTGACCATTGCAGGCTTTAGGCAAGCTTCACTTTTGTTATAATCTAACTTTTATTCAAAATATGTTTTTTATAATAACTTTCAAAACCCCTCGCCTTTTTTACATCGATGAATGTTTGAACCAGTTTCACCAATTCTAAGGTTGTAGAAGGACATAGTAAACTAGACAATCAACAGTAAAAAGTTCAAGTAAGAGTAATACCTGATGCCTTCGAGTGAAGTTAGACTGATTGTTGGATTCGATTTGAGCCACCCATCAAGTTAAATAGCTATCTGGATTCAACATTAGCTTACAAACTAATGCTTCACGTTCAACTTAGAAAATTGCTGCAAAAATCTCACAAATCAATTCTATACAGATGCCAAATAACAATAAAAAAACCTTAGATTTGAGGGGAAAAAAAATCGCCAACCAGTGTCTCGTATATTCTGTAAAAGCACAACAATGGCAAACAATACAAACCATCCACATTGTAGGCAACAAATTGATAATACAAATTCAAAGATGAAACTGTGTCAAAGGAGCAACCTATTTCCCAAATAGATATTCCTTACTTCATCGATATATATATATATATAAACATTGATATGTCGAGACTCCGGAAGAAAAGCACTCTTTATAACATCCATTATTCACTTTCCTTCTTACAAAATCAACCGGAATTTGCCTGTTTCTCCAGCTTTATCATTTGATCAGTGGAACACATTTCCTCAGATCCAGAGTTTTCTCAATTTACCGTACTTCGATCAATAATAAAATGAGCTCTATTCATAACAAGATAAGGAAAAGAACACACTCATTATTCAAACAATCCAAAATAACTGTATTCAGTATATGATTCATTCATTAAACTCCTGCAACCATCAGCTACGCTACATATAACCTAAACTGCAAACTTGAGCTCTTAAGAGAGTGACAATTCAACCTCCTACACAGCTTGCTATCTGTACTTCTAAGCACAAAAAATTGAATTTCTAGATAAAGAAATACATTTCTCTGAAGACTATACTATAACAAACAAGAGCAGAAATCTTATATTGTTAGCTCAAGAAGTTCAGGTGATAACAACAGGAGCAAAGATAACTCAAAATATTTTAACCATTAAACATTCAATTGTAACAAGGTAAGGATGTTTGCATTTCCATTACAGAAAGAACCCTCAGCAAACAGCCACATTGAAGAAGATCAGACAACATTCACCACAATTGCAGAAAAGTTTGGAACCCAAACTTGAGACAAATTTCAGAATGTCTTATATTCTATATATGGTAAAAAAAAATTTAGAAATCTATAATGTTGCTATCACTTAACATTAAGATATGAATCTGAGGGACTATTTTAATACAAGAATTAGAGAATTTTGAGAGCTTTTATGAGTATTCATACAAAACTAGATGGCACAGGAATGACTCCAGAATCCATATTTCAAGAAGAAATTGCATTAAACTCAAATTAAGAAGCATCAAGATTCACTATGAATGCAATTTTAGCACATAAATAATATTAGTTTTGCCTATAAGCAATATAATTTGCTAAAGCAATCAATGGAGCAGCCTTATCTGGATCAAACCCTGAGAGCTGATCCTGAGCATCTATGTTCAATTTTTTAGCAAATTCCCTCGACTGTTCAATTCCTATGAGTTTTGGATAAGTAACTTTATCAGCAATCAAATCCTTCCCCGCTGTCTTCCCCAACTCGTTTGAAGATTTTGTTACGTCCAGAATATCATCAACAACTTGAAATAGCAATCCGATGTACCTTGCAAAGTTTCTCAGTTTCTCAACATCTTCGTTCAAGCCGCCGCCGAGGATAGCGCCAAGAACTACCGCCGCTTCCAACAGTGCAGCAGTTTTGTGCAAATGGATGAATTCGAGCCGCTGAAGGCC